GCTTGCAGGACTTCACTTTGCAGGCCTGTACCCCAACGTGACACTGGTTCAGCCTGTTGGTTTGTGTTTGTTTATTTAATGTCCCTTGGGAAAGGCACAACTTCATGTGGGATATGATTACCACAAAACAACTATGATGAAAACAAATTGGATGAGCAGTTACTTGACTGTTTCAGCTGTGTATTTTCAGACAGTTCTCTCCTTAAGTCAGAGCAGTTTATTACAAGTCACATATTTTTCATTAGTAAAGTACCCTATGACAACTATGAAAGTAGCTTAAATGTTAAATATTGATATATCATTTTTATGTGTCATTTGTGGCAAACTGCAAATAACTCTGGCTCAAATGGAGTGTCACTTCTAGAAAACATTATGTGTCAGTTTAGTAGGGTAATGAGAGAAGCTTTTCCCTGTACAAAAGGAGAAAATAAATCCTTTGTGACAAATGCATTTAAACCCTAGATATTTTTCAGGCTTGGTGATACCAACCAAAACTATTTATGTGGGAGTGAATTAAGCATCCCATTGTTTCACGAGACAGAGTAACAAGAATTTATAGCAACATAAGACATGAATTATGCATTACTTTTGGTTTTGTGTAGTGGTAATTTCGGAGATAAAGGTTTTATATTAGTGTAAATAGATACCAGTACTGATTTTTTATTTTTTTTAATAGGGGAAAAAGCCTTAGCTATGAATTCTCATCTGAAAAGGCAGTTTTCTATTTGAATTAACATTAATGGGATTAACTGTATTTGTTTTTAACTTCAAAGTAAATTCCTGTTCAGGAAAGAAATTAACAACAAATAAATAAGCATTGATCCATGCCTGTATTCCCAAAGAACTAATCTCACAAAACTGTCCTGACAATTAGTAATTTTAACACTGTACTGTAAATTTTAATTTATCCGAAAGCTCACAAGTCATTCCTTTCACCAATCTAAAGGGCAGTACATATCTCAGGGCAATTTGGGCTTGATTTTCCAATTCTACCCTCTGCAAGTCAGGCTACAAAACATTTCATGATTAACATCTTGAAAACTGTCCAAGTACCTAAGTTCAATAGGATAAAACACTGAAGTACTTCACCTGTGAAAGAACAATCATGGTCTTGCATCTCTGATCTCCTGCCATATAGCATGGTAGGAAAATCCTGTATTCTGTAAACCCAAAACAGTAATACAGCAGTGACAGAGAGATGTATCTTTTCTTTCTTTTTTAAATTTTAGTGACCTTTTTCCCCACAGAAGAGAAACTGCACCACAGCCTAAGTTATAGATGTAACATACACTAAGCTTGATCTTATGACACATAACACTTGTTAAAACTTGAATTGATAAAAACTCACCACTTTTTCCCTCTGTGTTTCCTTAGTGATGCACTCAACTTTCACAGGTGGCCAATAATCACAATATCTACTCTGTGCTCTACATTGTGCCACACACCGAGTTCACAGCATTGCTATCTTCCCAAAAAATGGCCATCTACTAAGCTACAACTAAAAAGAAATCCAACTCCAATCCAGTTTATTATTTGTCAAAATTCTTCAAAGTTGAACTTTTTGCATGGGGAAAAAAAACCCCTACCTAATGTCTTTTTTGCTAATTGCAAAGCTTTGGTCTGTCTTTAAAAACCAGCGTCCTAATTTTAACTTCTAAATCCACTCAGTCTTAATAAGCTCCTGCTATTTTTCTTAGTTGTTGAAATGAAGTTTATACCATAGCCTCCACCACTAGTTTTCAGCTAGGAAAAATGCTACTTCTCATTAGTACCTACATGCTAACATTGTACTTTTGTTTACTCTGCAGTAACTGTTACTCCCTTACATTATACTGCAACATTCAAGACTTGACAAAATAAAACTAGGGACAGAACACATGGACTGGAAAGCTAACTCTTCCTGCCCCAGAATTTCCTTGTCCACTTTATCTACCACACAAACCAACAGATTTGGGCAGGTGTTGGGAAACCCCTTTCAAGAGTGAAAACAAGGTTGAAAAAAACAGCCACTGCTGCAGTTTAGGCCTGTGAAATAGGATACACAGCAATAAAACGCAGACAGAAGTAACCAATTTTCCAAAATTACTACTGTTAATTAAGAAATGAATGCCATTAAAATATCATATTTAACGCAGCTGTTGAATATAATGGCACGGTGAATCCTGATGGTAAATCCTCCTTTCTTCAACTTCAAAACCAAAAAGGAATTTCACGTCTTGTAGAATGGAGTTCTGATCATTCTAGATGCACAGACCATTTCAGGTTGGAGATCATCAGAGACATCTTCAGCAGCTTAGACATCCTCAAATGATGGCAAAGCACAACCCAGCAGGGCTCTTCTCATTGCTTACAGTTAGCAAAAGAATCAGCAAGTTTTTATGGCTAAATCAGCAGTTCAGTTTAAAATTTGAACCATCAGATACAGGACTAGCTTACTAAATAAAAGAAGTATTATGGGACACGAAGTCTTCAAAATATCCTCAGCAGAATATCCTTGAAGTATCCTTGAAAGTATCCTCTTCAAGCCTGCTCAGGAATACCATGCTTTTTAATTACTTGGTTGTTTCTGAGAATACTTTTAAGTCAGAGCAGCACAAAGACATTTAAACATTTCAAATCTATGAAACTCTCCAGGACTATAAAAAACCCCCCTCACATTTAATTTTATACATGCAGTTTCACTACCTATTACTCAAATACTAATTACATTAGCAATTTGCTCACCGTGTAGGATAGCCATGAAAATGATGATTCTGCACAGGAACACTTGCTCGCCCTGACTGGTCATAAATCAACAGAAACACAGGTTTAAAAATTTTCAACTTTGAAATTTATTTAGAACTCAGGGGTTAAGCGTGGTAAGTTTCCAATTGTCTGATAATAGCATACCCATGTAACTATCATGGAAATTGCACTAATTCCCTCTGCCCCCCTCCCCCTTAGAAATCTGGTTAGTTTTAACAGCCAGTGGTTTTGCAAATAGTGCACTCTAGGACACTACTGCATTTCCTGAGTGTTCAAAGCTACTGTATGACACATTAAGCTGAAAGAAAACCAACAAAATTATTATTTAGAGCTAAACCAGCTATTTAACCTCACTGCTGAAGTACAGAATCATAAAATGCAATGTATTTTAACAGGAAATTGTTTAAAAGGGGGAAGAAAAAAAAAACAACAAAAGAACCATCATTTTTAAAAAATGACATCCCTTTTGCCTTAATTTTAAGCTAAATAATTTTAACTTCAAGTCATTAACCTCAAGACTATTAAAAATGGCCAGTGAACTTAAGACTCGCTCAGACTGATATGTAGTTGTGAGTAAGATATCCATGTTGGTATTCCTTGACCTTTTAAAGAATTCCTAGTGGCTCTGACAAAAGCAGCACAACAGGGTATCTCTGGTTTATCTCTTTAGTGCTCTTGAAAACGAGTTACTAACAGCACTGACCAGAGTGCTTACACACAGGATTTCAGACAATTGCCCTGCAATGCACTTCAGCTTTATCGTGCAAAACCAATCTAGTCATAAACATCCCCACATTAAACACATTAAATTGTGCCAAAGTATGTGATGTGAATAAATGTCAGCTAATCTATCAACACACAGACAAGTGTCAGCTTGTCTATCAAGCATTGTCAAGCCCAGAATAAAATTTGTCAGAACTGACCTCCTCCATGGGCAGACTGCATAGTCTATGTGAGTTACTAGTTTTTGTCCAGAGAAATCTCTTCAAAGTTGTATTTATGTTGACAAACAGGTTCAGAGGAGAGTTTCAGCCCTCTAAATTCACCATGAGTTAATACATCAAGCACGAGGTCTCACCATCAGTCGGATGGATTTTTCCATGAAAGACCACAATCACTTCTTGATCAAATCAAAGCTGAAGCAGTGGCGGCTGATGGAAATGCTAACTACATTGTTCTTGCATCATTTCTCGTGAGGCATTAGATTTATTCTCATTTACAGATGATTTTGGCAGAAGAGTTCTTCAGGTTGCAGCAGAACAAAAAGCAACTTCTTGTCTCAAGTTGTTTGGGGTGTTATTTTTTTCTTTACGGAAACTTGCTTTGAACAAAGAACTGATAGTATAGGCAACTGCCAGCAGGAACTACCGAGAGATGATGTGTTCCACTCTAGTATTATGTCAGTGGCTTGCCAATCCTTTTCCCCTAAAATATTTGTAAAAACATTGGAAATACCTATGAAATTTATAAAACAGCTCCTTAAACATCTGCTTAATGCCCTTTCCTTCAAATATAAAAGACCTCCACATTTCAGGATCTTTTTCTGTGGGTACAAGGGAGAGGTCGAGGAAGAGGTAAAAGGTAGGATAACTGTTATCGTTTCAGTTGCTATGTTACAAAATTTAAATGACTACTAGTCTACAGATTAAATACAGACTTTACATAAACAATCAGAACAATGGGAAGAAACCATAACTGAAGCCATATAAAATCCTTAACAGGTCAAGTGACTATATTAAGAATAACCTTATATGTTATATAGAAGATAATATACACAGATTTTAACAGGTATTTTTCCCCTTGAAAGTCACTGTCAGTAGGATCACACTCTTACTGTACAGACAAGTGACTTGAGTATTTGAAATTACTAACAGGGAAAATTTAGGTTATAAAAGGAAAATATATCAAGTACACATTTACATGTCTATACTATGACTTAAATTAAAAGCCTTAAGAGCATTCTCCTACATACTCCACTTTCAACCTAAATGGAATATCACTGGCAGTACACAAACCTTAGGGAGGGCACTTCTAATCTAGTCAGTGTAACTATGCTAAAGGACAGCTATCTTACAAAGGAGATTAAGTTCAGATGTTTAGAAACTTGAAAAATAAGAGAAAGTTAGAAACCCTAAACAGCTACTCATATGTAACTATAATTACCTTTTAGAGAGTATTAGACTAAACTCCAGTATTTGCTATGGTCGTTGCATTAAAAGAAACTTCTACCACACCTAAAGGATAAGGCATAGCCATCTACTAATTGGCATATTTGTTTATTTGTCTCAGTTTGTGAAAAGGTCCTTGTTTGTGAAAGCAGCAAAACAAACTCTAACTGAATGATTGCTATATGCAAAAGAATTGAAGGCAATTGCCTCTGCAGTGAACTTTACAGTTCTCAACAGCACACACGCAACATGCTATCTGAAAAAAGTTACTAACTGAACTACATGTATTAAATACTGAAAAAAGTTTTACATTTTTTTATCATAATTTATTTTATTTAACAATCTAAGAAGTTTGCAGCCATCAGAAGTTCCAGTGCAATTTCGGGTGCAATTGGGAATTCAGGAATCTCTGTAGAGCTGTTAGTATAGCGGACCTTGTAGGTGAAATACATGCATACTTTGGATAGCACATGGGATGGGATCTCTCTAAAATTGACCTCATTTGTTTCATTTTCTGCAAACTGTCCTGTAGGAAAAAAACAACACAACAACACAGAAAAAAAAACCACACCAAAGCAAAAGTCAGAATTGCAATTCACTGCAAAATGAAACACTTCACCATACTAACACAACACATTCTAAACAGACCTGTGTAAGTCACATACTCCTGGGGATTAGATCCTTCATGGTAAAGCAGAATGTGCCACATTCAGAACCCTCAAGAATATGAAGATCTCCAGCACTACAAAATGTTTATTTTGGCTGCAGCCTATTAACAATATACTGAACAACCACACCAGAAATTTAGATTTAATTCTAATATTGCTCTAAAACTGTAGAGAGTTCAGCCCCAAAGGTGACAGGAACAATTAAAAAAAAGAGCAAAACCAAAAGAGGCACCAATCCAAATTTCTAGCTGTCTTATCCAAGGGAAAAAAAAAAAGGCTTATAGATGTTTTGTATCTGCATATGCACACTTATCAGCAGTCCCTTCTGTGACCCATTAGCTTTGAATTTCTCAGTTTCAGGCAGATTTGACAAGAGGACTGAAGCCTCAAAGACACATTCACTTGATAAGCTGTGAAAACAGGCAGGCAGCAGGGACAGGGAAATTCTAGTTGTACTGGAGGAAAGGTTACACACAGTAGGAGTTTATCCCTATTAGATATTAAAGAATTTATCCAAAGTTCAAATCTCAAAAACACAAGTACATTTGGAATTAGCTTGCTATAGTGCCTCTAAGCATGAAACTTGGATGATGTGGAGCCATCCTATGGTCAGTTCCACAGCCTTTCTACTGTTGTCTTTGTCTCTCTTCATGTCTCTGGACTTTAAAATCATTAAGCTTTAAACTCCTAAACTGAAAGACAAAAACTACTAACATATTCCATATTTATGGGAGACTAGCAATGTTTGGTTCCCACTATTTCTGTAGGCATTCCCTTCTAACTATAAAGCAGAGCTATTTACTAATGTTTACACAGATTTGTGCAGAAGTATCTGCATGCACTGAAGCCAATCTGGCTTGAATTCTAGAACAGAACAGTCAGAAGTAACAGAAGAAATGTTAGCATATTGGCAATGTCACAGCACTGAATGCATCAGTGAAATTATGACCTATTATAATAGACTGCAACAGTACTTTTCCTCGTGAACCCATTTATCTTGTTAGTTTTTATACAAAATATTCTTGAATGCTGACTCCTTTACAGAGTCAGTTTCTAGCCACCTAAGCAGGCTACTTTGCCTGTTGTTCCTGCACATTGTGAAACAAATTCAGAACAGAATTGAATACCTCCAGTGAGGGAAAATCCACAACCTCTCTGGGCAATCTGTTCCAGTGCTCAGTGACTCACACAGTAAACAAGTTCCTACTTATATTCAGGCAGAACTTCCTGTGCATCAGTTTTTGCCTGTTATGTAGGCTACTGTCATCCACCACTCAAGTAGGCAAACGTAAACACACAGGATGAGGGCACAGAAGAGGGAAAGTACGTGTGTTAACTTCTCCCTGTTCTCTCCTCCACTGGTTTGGTCTTCAATAATTAGTTTAGATACTTCTTAAACTAGATGTAGTCTCGTATGTTCAGTAACACACAGGGTATTTCCCTTCTGTAAGCTCATCTACCCTTGTCTCAAATTAAGCCAGTTTTCGGCATTAAGCTCAGGAACTCCTTGCCATAGGATGTTGTGAATATGTGGCCCAAACCCCAGTAGGCATCTGAGCACCACACAGCCACTTGCTCACCTGCCCCAGCTGTGGACAAAGGAAGAGGAAAGGAAGAGTAAAAGTAGGAAAACTTGCGGGTTGAATGAAGAGAAAGAAAACAAAACAACCGATGCAAAGGTAATCACCACCTCCTACACTTAGACTAATGCCCAGCCAGTTGCCAAGCAAAAGGTGGCTAACCTCCCTAACTCCCTCCTCTCCCTTTTTAACTTTGGAGCCTGACATTATACAGCATACAATATCTCTTTCATTACTTTGGGTCATCTGTCTGGTCATGTTCCCTCCCAACCTCTTGGACATCCTCCTGTCTAGTCATTAGGTGGGCGAAGAGTGAGAAACAGAGAAGGCCTGAACACTGTGCTAACACTGCTCAGCAATAGCTAAAACATAGGTGTGTGTTATCGGCACTGTTCTGGTCACAAATCTAAACAGAGAACCATGTCACCACCTATGAAGAAAATTAACTCCATACAGAATACCAGAAGTTCAATAAATAACTTCCAGCTCGTTTGTTTTGAACGTGACAGCTACACATTTCACCTCAAGTTCTCATGCCATGGGACACTAGTAGCAGTGACACTGTAAGATCGCTAACTGTCCAAAAACAGACACCTCTTGTAAGTCTGGTAGCACAATACTCCACAGAGGTGGACTGTTCTGATGGAAACACAAACTAGACAGGACCTGGAAAAGTTACCATCCATTCCAACTTTTACTCACTGCATGAGAAAAATTCAAACTGCCCAAAAGTGAAAACAAAGAATGTGAAGATACTAAATCCTCTGTACCTACCTGGTCCACTCAACATAGCTTTTATTGTTCCTGATGTTAATGCATGTTCTCTTTTTACAATGAACTCATGGCCATCGGAGGATATTAACTTCACATACATAGCATCTGGGCCCTCACACCCACCGTACGTTTTCTCTTCTCCATCTATAATGGAAAACAGGTAACAGTTTCAGAACACAATGAACTGATTCACGTCGTGAAGAATGCTATGTTACCTAAACACAAATCTGGTATTTAGAAATACAGACTGCAAGGAAAAAGTGCTTTCTGAAGCACAGGTAAGAACAAAAGCAGTCAGTATTCCTGCACTGAAGAAATGACACGAAATAAGACTCATCCTCCCTCACTGCCCAACCAGACCCAGAACCGTACAGCGCTAGTGCACTCCCATGTTGAGGCCTTTGGTGGAAAACAGGACAAGTGCCAAAGCACTAACCCAGGGAAATTTGGAAATTTTCCCCACAGTAGTTTTGACTGTGCTTTTTCTGTTTCTCTTCTCCCTCCTATTTCACTAAATACCTGCTACTGTGTTTCTCCAGAAGCCTTCATGTCCCTTCCCTGTTTGTTCCTTCATTTATCTTGTTCCAAACAGCACTACCTTTAAAAGTTGAATTACTGTTGCCAGTATAGCAAATAAAACATTCCCCCATCAAATAACTTTGCGAATTTGAAGTTAAAATTGAATTACCATGTCGTTATTGCCAATTTTAATAAAATACTGCCAGTGCCAAAATACATTCAGAAAACATACAGATAAAACCAGAATCTGTCTAGTCATGTTTCATTTACAAGTAATTTGTAGAGGCAGATACAACAGTTCCAGATACGAAGTGAGATCACACACAATGTAATTTATCAGCAACCAGTCCTTATGCTGATCTTTTAGCCAGAATTCAACAGGCTGACCTTAGTTAACAAACAAGCAAAGATATATTTGAAACAGTACACAATGAAATTTTCTTGTCCACTACCCAAACGTTTAGTGTTATGAAAGCCTAACGGCATCTTATTTCCGCAGGGACATTTTCAGGACTATGCATATTAAGCAAGTGAATTTATTGTTCAATAGATGCACTCTGAACAAGTCTTACAATAAATGAACGGGAGAAAACTCTCCTACAAAACATTTGTAGGAAGCTCCATTAACCTTTGAGGCTACAAGTATAACAGTGACAAGATTAACATTTAAAGTCTTACAATCCACCTCCTCTAATGACACGAGAAAATGCTTCAAATCACAGGAAAACAAAAAACACTAAGATTGTGAACTTACCCATTCTCTTATAAAAAAAATGTTTTTTTTCAACTGCAGATTCTGCAATAGGAGCGTCTGAAAAAACATAAGGGGCAATATTTTGAGTCAGCAGTACAATTTTTAATCAGCAACCATGGTGAAATCCTTCTCCTTGGACTGACGCGTGTCCCCATCCCAACGTTATCTCAGGGACTATAGTGAGATATCCACCCTCAAGGTACAACCACCCCCCACTGAGTAAGATGTATGACTAAATTCACTTAAGCTCCACCTAAATATAGAGAAATAGTAAAAAAGTGAGGTAAGAATGGGGAGAAGCTGGGGGAAAGACCCCGTCAACTTCTGGGATGAGACTCTCCCTGTAGTGACACCTATTGGGTAAAAACTGTACTCTATGTGCACTGAATCATTATCTCAAGCTAACTTTTATTGGTGATCAGAGCTTGTTAGTATGTTGCTTTGAATATATTTTGCGGTCAGATACTATTGCTGGCAATCCTCAAACCTTAATCTGTCACAACCCTATTAATAAAGAGTGATATCCTGTAAGCTGTTAATGTGAGTCCTTCAAGGGTGTTAGCAGTCACTGGCAGTGGGTGAAGGTGTGGTGACCCAAGAGGAGGTTTTCCCTGTTTGGTTGTGGCCCTGAATGAGTCAGTCAAACTGTCCTCTGACCTACTGAACTCTTCAGTGAAGACTGTTCATAACGGGACACCAACAGACTGGTTGGGCACAAGGGTCTTGGCTTTCCTGGGGCACTGACAGACTAATCAAACACTAAGGGTTTGAGTAAATTTCTCCTTTTCATGTGACAGTTATCACAAATACTCTTCAGAAAAGAATATTATGATACTCAACATGCAATGCTGATGAGCAGTATGTTTTGAAAACAGGAAATCTATGAAGTTCATCCATGGGAAATGCAAACCCCTACACCTTGGGAAGAATTACCCCAGGTGCCAGCACTGAGGCCAACCTGTGGAAAGCAGCTCTGCAGAAACAGACCTGGAGGTGCTGGTGGACAAGCTGAACATGAGCCAGCAGTGTGTCCTGGCAGCAAAGGTGTCCCGGCAGCACCCTGGGCTCTATGAAGGGCATTGCCAGAAGGTTGAGGCATGGGATCCTGCCCCTCCACTCAGCACTAGTGGAACACATCTGGAGTGCTGGGTCCAGTACATGCCAGACCAAACTGAGTCCTGCAAAGGGCCATAAAGATGAGCAGGGGATCAAAGCACCTGTCATACAAGGAGAGGCTAAGAGAACTGAGGTGGTTTAGGCTGGAGAGAAGGCTCAGGGATCAGTCTAATCAGTATGCACTAAATACCTGGTCTCCAACCTGTCCTTCCCAGAACATTGAGAGTTCCTGATACAATCAACAATGTCACCTGGATAATCTACTTCAGACATTTAATGTAGGTATTCTCACAGTAAGTTACCCAGGTGCTTCCATAGCTTATACACTGACATCCAGCTTGCTGCATATGTATTTCTCCACGTAAATGAATCCAAAGAGTTAGAAAAATGGAAGCACTTATTTGCAAAACACATCTGGTATGTTCAGATACAACTGGTATTTCTTTACACTGAACTGCATCTCTGCTGTGGAAAATAAACCTTTGCAAGAGGACTTCCACCCACCTGCTGTTCTAAAACCCCTTTCACGTCAGCAGCCACTCTCCAAACATTAACCCAGCACAAATCAATGAACTACTGTTGTGTGCCCACGGATCCAGGAAAACAGCACCAGTAAGCATGGGAGGTTTCCCAGCCAATATCCAGAGTTGAGGCCAGCAGAGACCAGAACAGAGACCACTCCCCCCCACATTCTCTCCCTCCTATGTTTCTGGTAAAAGTTTAGCAAACAAAAGTAAGCCAGTTGAGAAAGCTGCAAGATTTGGAAGAAGTACTACAAACATCTTTCCTGTTGCTGATAACTTCATTTCTCTACATCTCTATGATGCTGATGTGTTCCATCTCCCTTTTTTCATAGCTACAAATACAAAATAGTCTGTTTCCTCAAGCTTTCACAAGAAGGCACCTAATCAAACTGCACAAGCATAACCAATAGTTTTTAGCTACCTGTGGAGAAATGAGCAAAAATCACCCCCCACTTACACTGCTGCTGTCTTGAAAATTATCCTGACTTTACAGAAATATATTCAAAAGATATTTTCCTTCCCCACTGGTATAGGGAACATCTTAACCTGTAATCTTGCAGGTGAAGAGTTCCTGACTATAAGGAACATTGAAGAATGCTCTTTGAGAGTTAATTTGTGTATGCTGTAATAGAGATTCCTTAATATGGAGTGTTAAATGCCTTCATCATTTTCAATAATTACAGGAACTCATCTGAGGAAATTACATTTGGGTGCTGGTACAGTTAGGGCCCAAAACTAAAGGGAACTTTGACCATATGTGAACAGTTTTTGTAAATGGAAATCAAGCACCTTACTGGAGCGCAGCTGTGGCTCAGGAACTGAAGGGACACCTTACATAATTACTTCTATTTCGCAGAAGAGAATGACTTGTGCTACCTCTTCTTCTAGCCACAAAACCCTTCACTGCATTCTGAAAGAGTAGTGAAACCACTTAAGATTTATACACAATAATACTTAAAAAAAGCCCACAGAAGTGATACCCTTTTTTATGCCGGTGATGATAAAATGTGCCTTGGTTTACAATACAAATAATGCCAGAAAGTACAGGAATAAAGACAGCCTAGTTAGC